ATCGCAATGCGATCGCTAATTCGCAACGCGATTTCCATTATCGCAAATTCGCGTTGCATTTCGCGTTGCGATAGTTGGAAATCGCGTTGCGATTGTATACAGTGTCGTTGCGATTTTCCCAATTCGCAATGCGAATAAGTAAAACGCAACGCGAATTGGGAAAATCGCAATGCGATACTGACTATCGCAATACGATACTTACTATCGCAATGCGATAATACAAAATCGCAACGAGATACTGACTTTCGCAACGCGATTCTGACTTTCGCAACGCGATTTACATAGCGACATTCGTATTAACGCATATTTTTTTTTCAAATTCCAAACACGAATTTTTTCTTAATAAATCGGAAACTGAACCGTCCACAATAATCGCAACTCATAACCTCAAACCCAAAATCACAACACTTAGTCCCATCTCTATCTCTCACTCTCTACGGCGAAATCCGTCCCCATCTCCGAAGATTTCCGTCCCCATCGCCGGTGAAATCCCTCACAACCATTCACAGTCAAAAATCCCTCACAATCATTCAGAAATGGAAAATCAACCTACGAGGGTTAGTTTTTTTTATTTTTATTTTGAATTTTTTGCATTATTTTAGGTTTTTCATATTGAGATTGATGATAAGTTTACTGGTAATTTCAATAATAGATTAACCATTTCACTTAGATTTCTTATTAAATTCATTCGATTGCTGCCAATATAGCTAAACTGTTTAGCCTGTGAAGTTAGTATTTGTCTTTGTTTTGTCTTTTGGTTGAAGTAATGCAGAAGAAGAATAGTTTCGAGAATGAAAATCTCAACGCGGAAATAACTATCGCAACGAGAGAATCGCAACGCGAAATAAAAAACGCAACGCGAAACAAAAATCGCATTGCGATTTTCATTTCGCGTTGCGATTTTTATTTCGCGGTTGCGATTTTCATTTCGCGTTGCGATTGTCTGGTCGCGATAGTCATTTCGCGTTGCGATTCTCTCGTTGCGATTCTATCGTTGCGATAGTCATTTCCGCGTTGCGATTCTCATTATCTCGTTGCGATTTTCATTTCAACCAAAAGACAAAAACAGTGTTGCAAATTTTAGTTTCAATAATAAACTACTATTTATGTTTATTGTTTTGTTTTTGGTATATCTTGACAGTGTAGTTTTTGGTATATCTAACTTGGTATGTTTATTGTTTTTTTGTAGAAATTTTTTTCGGCTTCATTGACATTAAGGAATAAAGTTAGCCTAGCCACTACAATTGCTTCGAAGCTTTCACCTGCACAAAGAAAATTGTTTGAAGAAACCTGCTTCGGGCCATGGCTGAGAGTACATCATCCGGGTGGAGATGCTAGTTTGACCCATTTGTGGCTTCAGACCATGACTAGCGATCTACCCGACAATATACAACGTGGTGAGGAAGAGATATGGTTTCATTTTCCACCGGCGTATACTTGTTTTGGGCGGAAGGAGTTCTGCTTAATCACTGGTCTACGATTCGGACACGATGATGTAGGCCGGTACACTCGTCATATCACCCGCCCATCATGGTTATCCAGGGTTTTTCCTGATGAGTCAATAGAGAAGCCGAACTTACACGTCGACGACATGAAGAAATTGTTTAATAAGAAAGATGGTTTTACTCGGATGAATGACGTCGATGTTGTCCGAATATGCCTTCTACTACTTTTGTATGCCGGCTTTTTAGGCAGAGAGGCCAGACAACCTATTCCTCAGGAGCTAATATTATTGGTAGAGGACCTAAATGCATGGAATCTGTTTCCGTGGGGTTCGTATATATGGAAAGCTACCTGGACTAAGTTGTCGTCTGCCTTTGAGAAACCCTCTGACGTGCCGGACATGATGGATTCAAGTTGGCTCTCGTATGAGTTACCGGCCAGTACCATACCGGTATCTGAAGAGGAGATGAAACAACTACCGGACACAATTCTGGATAACACCCTTTGGGCTAAGACCGCATTTGATTTTTATCTACATGAGCGAAGCCAGGGGTGTTTCACTGACATATGCAAGCTCAATGATGATATCTATTTGTTGCTTGATCGGTCTTGGTGGGGCGTATTATTAGGGGTCGAAGACAATGGCTATTTCGATGGAGGGGTAAGTCTTATATTTTTCTTATATTTTCATTTGATTATTTTTTTGTAAATTTATGTAAGTTACTAATATATGTCTTTTTTTATAAAATAGCATATCGATGCGTGGGTGTCACGTCTTCTAATAATTAGGAAACTTAAGGAAAATAAAAGAAATACACGATATACAATTATGCCGACGTCTTTTAACGCCGTTCACTTGAAGAATCAACGAGATGAATCATTTGCGTTGGGCAATGGACAAGCTAAACTTTATCCTGCATGGTGGCAGGTCGATAAGGTTAGTGTTTATTTTAGATTGAGTTTAAAGGTATTCATAAATAAGTGCGCAAATGAATGGATTATTACTTATGATTGCATGTGTTTATCCCTGTTTTGGAACGTAACCATTGGCTTCTCGTCGAGCTTCAGATCCCATCCCTTAAGACAATAGTATATGACAGCATGATAAATTACATATCATTGGCTGATTTAAGAGATATTATTAAGGGATGGAGCTCTTATTTGGCTAAATTCTTGGATGCGATAAATTATTGGACTCGTTCTGGAAACAAGAAGCCAAAGAAGCTCAATATTACAGTTAGCAGAGACGAGACCGCACCACAACAAACGAAAGGACCCAGAGGGGATTGTGGTCCTCTCGTATGCTTGGCGTTGGACCGTTTGATCACAGGAAGTATAAAGTATCTACCTCCCACCGATATAGATAGAGCTGCAGTAGGCTTGTGGTTTCGACATTATATGGCTAGATCGATATATACGAGACGCTGCCTACCTGCATCTGCGTTATAAAAATGTCCATAAACAATTGGTATGTTTATAGGCTTGTGGTTTGAAAATGTTTGGTTAAGTACCTAGAATTCAATAATTTGCTGTTTGTAGGTTTTAGATGTGTAGAAACTGTTGTTTGAGCAAATGTTTGGTTTATGCAGGTTAATCTCAGAAGTGAGCTGCGTGAAAATGATGTATGGCTGCAAAAGTTGATTCAATAGTAGAAGTGTTATTTTCTCTAATAATTATTGCTTATTTTTTGATTGTTTAATTGATTTGTAAAAGGTGATTTGTAAAAGTTGATTTCTTTAATTGATGTTAACATAATTCTTATTTGTGCTTGTTTAATTGATTGAAATGTAATGGTTGATTTTGTTGATTTCAATCTGCATTATGTTGAAGGCAAAAAGTACTATCGCAATGCGAAATGAAAATCGCAACGAGAGAATCGCAACGCGAAAATGAAAATCGCAACGCGAAATTAAATTCGCGTTGCGATTTTCATTTCGCATTGCGATTCCCTCGTTGCGATTTTCATTTCGTATTGCGAAATTAGCGTTGCGATTTTCATTTCGCATTGCGATTCTCTCGTTGCGATTTTTATTTCGCATTGCGATAGTAATTTCCGCGTTGCGATAGACATTAAGATGATTGCCTATTAAGTGATAACAACTGAACAGATCATAGCAATTTTCAAACTCAAGTTACTAATACATGCCTAACTGAAAATGTTAAAAGTTCACACATAAAATCTACATAATACAACGTTTGCATTTAAAAATCACCTAAGTTAACAGTCCCAAAAGGTGAAGCCAGTTGTGATTGGGATTTTAAAGATGATTGCGATTTTGATTGCCTTTTTCTTGACACCATATGAGCTTTAGATTTTGATGATGAACCATATTTTGGTAGAGGAAAAGATGATTGTGATGGCACTGGTGATCCACATGTCAACCTTGTATGACCACTTTCCTTGCACCGACTACATGTCGATCTCTTCTTCTCTTCACCCTTAGACGGTATACGATCGTGACTTTTTGGTCGGCCAGGTAGCCTTCTGTCCATGGCTGGTGGCAAAACTGTTTGTAAGTCATCTGGTATGTCCCACTCAGAAGGATGTGAAATAGGGTAGACAATCTCGGCATAAGTCTGTCGATATACTTCTGTAGTGTAGCAATCCATAGCGTATGTGCTTGAATCATCTTGGTTTAGATGAAGAGCAACTTTTATAACATGGCCACATGGATAACCAGATGTTTGCCATTTCATACAACTACACGTCCTTGTATTTAGATCGACAAGCCCATTTAAGTTATTATCCAGTACTTCAAACAAAGTGTTTGAACATGGTTCAACTCTCCATGACGTTGACTTCACAACACGTTTCGTTATCTTTTTTTCAGTCCATGGTGTAACACGATGTTCCAATGTTCCTGTAAATTTAAATAAATAATACTTAGTAAAATATATGATAAGTTACGAATTCAAAGAAATAATACCTGCATGGTTTCTTTTCTTGTAGTACCACTGTTGAATAGAGGCTTGAAAAAACTCCATTAACATAGTAATGGGTAATTTCCGGGAATGACGACTTAGAGCGTTAATTGATTCTGCACTAATAGGACCTATGCAATCCCTAAGATGCCCCATAAACCATGTCCATGAATCAGAGGTTTCATATTTGCCAACCCCGTAAGCTATTGGCAATATCTCATTGTTAGCATCCATGGCTACTGCTAATAAGTTTACTCCAAGGTATCGACCTTTCAAATGTGCTCCGTCAACTATAATAACTGGGCGCATGCAAGTAATAAACGAACGAATCTACAAAATAATATACACAAGAAATATAATCATTTAAATGTGAAATGCATGTAACTAACAGAAATGAGTCAACAGAATTATATTGATTTACTAACCGCAGCACCAATGGCGATAAACAGCAACTCAAAGCGTCCATCTCTATCTGTTTTAATATGAGTTACCGACCCAGGATTTTTCAGCTTTAAATTGTGACAATAAGCCGGCAGTTGGGCAAACGATGCTTCTGGCGACCCCCTCAACAATTCCAAGGCATAACATTTGGCTCTCCAAGCTTGAGAATATGATATACTAATCTTGAACCGAGCATTCATGTCAGTCATAATTTCATGTCCCCGATATACCCTGCCATTCAAAAACATTAACTCAGCCAGAAAACCACCCAACATCTTTTTGTTTGCCTGTCTATGGTGAGGAAAAACTTGGGTTCTTGAACATGTATGTTTATCAATAAAAGTCCTAACTTGAAACATTGCGCAATCTTTTATCCTCTTTGCAATCATACGCCACGTACAGTTTTTGTCAATCGTACACCTTGTTTCGAAACGATCTTTGCTTGATTTGTTAACTTTTAGTTGATAGCCATCTTCCACACATTTCGTATACAAAGCTATCTTCAAGTCTTCCTTTGTATCAAAACAATCATCTTTCTTGATACGAATAACTTTTGTGTAACAATCAACTGCTTTCTTTGCCAACTCTTCTTCCGGTAGCTGAAGTAATTCTGGCATATTCCAGTTATACTCCCGTGGTATTTTCTTTTCTTCGGGGACTTTTTCTTCTTCTTTTTCTTCTTCAGGATTATATGAATTACAGAATGGATGTTCAACATGTTCATTCACAGTCGTAACTTCCTCCTCATTATCATCAACAACATCTTCCTCGGCAACGGGTGTTTCATCATCAAAATTCGGGTATTGACCAATATCAAATCATTACACGCAGGGTCTGTTTCTTCTTCTGAAACATCATCAAAATCCGTGTATTGACCAATATCAAAGTCCGGGTATTGACCAAGATCAAATTTCGAATACTGACTAGTACTCACAATTTTTTCTCTTGGCTCATCATCGTCTAATTGGTCAATACGAAAACCGGAATTTGGTGCTGAAAGTTGATTTGGATTTGGATTAGAGAAAGGCTGTGGGTTTTGAGACCCACTTAGTTGATTACTACCCGCTACTGACCCAACAATACTACTTCTAGGTTCAACAACATACAATGTAACATCATCACTTGAAACATTAATGTAAGCAATGAATCGTTCAACATCTTCATTGTCGGTTAACAAATAAACTTTACCATTTCTCTGATAAGATAGCCTAAATCCACTTAGGGGCTCTAAATTTAATTTCTTTGAAACACGTAACATTAGGGTTTCATAAGTTAACTTCTTTAATGACAGTTTTAGTTGAAGATTCATGGGTAAAGGCATATATTGTAAAACACCATGAACATTCTCCCATGACCCTCCAAAACACAAATCTATCCAAACATGATCAACATTAGATGATTTCATGGTTGTAACTAAACAAACGAGATGCGAAACTAAGACCTGTTGCCGGATGGGGAAGGATGTCGTTGGATATAGGAACGGATGTCGCCGGAGAGAGTGATAGATGGAGATGGAATGAGTTGCGATTTAGGGATTTAGGTTATGAGTTGTTGCTGCTGCGTATATATATACACAAAAAATTTGGCTTGCGAAACTAAAACCTGTTGCGAACTTTGAAACTCGCATTGCGATTCTGTATTATCTCGTTGCGAAAGTCAGAATCACGTTGCAAAAGGCAATCATTTGACCATCGCAATGCGAAATGCAAATCGCAACGATAGAATCGCAATGCGAAATGAAAAAGGCAACGAGGATTAACATGCATAAACTTTTAACAATTATTGAATTCTAGGTACTTAACCAAACATTTTCAAACCAAAAGGAGTATATATGTTAACAAAACTTGCATTATGTGTATTTTATGTGTGCACTTTTAACATTTTCAGTTAGGCATGTATTAGTAACTTGAGTTTGAACATTGCTATGATCTGTTCAGTTGTTATCACTTATTAGACATTCATTTGACTATCGCAACGCGAAAATGGCTATCGCAACGCGAAAATGGCTATCGCAACGAGAAAATCGCAATGCGAAATGAAAATCGCATTGCGATTTTCTCGTTGCGATTTTCATTTCGCATTGCGATTTTCATTTCGTATTGCGATTTTCTCGTTGCGATAGCCATTTCGCGTTGCGATAGTCTGTTTTGCCTTCAACATAAAGCAGATTGAAAAATCAACAAATCAACTATTACATTTCAACACAAATTATGTACACATCAATTAAACAAATCAACATTTACAAATCATCTTTTACAAATCAATTAAACAATCAAAAAATAATAATAATTCTTATTTCTTCATCAATTATTGAATCAATGAATCAACAACTTTGTGACCCCGTACATCCATTTCACGCAGCTCACTTAAGGATTAACCATGCAGGATAAAGTTTAGCTTGTCCATTGCCCAATAAAAATGATTCATCTCGTTGATTCTTCAAGTGAACTGCGTGAAAAGCCGTCGGCATTATTGTATATAGCGAATTTCTTTTATTTTTCCTAAGCTTCCTTATTATTAGTAGACGTGACACCCACGCATCGATATGCTGTTTTACAAAAAAATACATATATTAGTGAATTACATTAATTTTTAAACAAATTAATCAAAATCATATATAAGACAAATATAAGACTTACCTCCCCATCCAAATAGCCACTGTCTTCAACCCCTAATAGCACCCCCACCAAGACCGATCAAGCAACAAAAACATTTCATCGTTGAGTTTGCTGATGTCAGTGTAACACCCTTGGCTCCGCTCATGTAGATAAAAATCAACTGCGGTCTTAGCCCAAAGGGTATTATCCACAATTGTTTCCGGTAGTTGTCTCCTCTCCACTTCAGATACCGGAAGGGTACTAGCCGGTAACTCATACGAGAGCCAACTCTCATCCATCATGTCCAGAACCCGGTGGGAGTTTCTCAATACTTCGATATATTACCCCATGTGAATCGGGCTCTGGAATGGTTGGAGGGACCTCTTCAACGATGACAGTGGCCTCTTGAACGGTGGGGGGGAATCTTGAGGGAGAATAGGGGCCTCTTGAACGATTGGAGGGGACTCTTGAGGGATGATTGGTGAGTCGGGCTTCTTCTTGCGGAGTCTTCGCACCATTGGGGTGAACGGAGACGTAATAGCACGTCCACGCCGTCTGATGCGTGAACTCCGTCGTGCAAGGAAAACCTGACGTAAAGCATCCACCTTATCGGGCCGCTAAAAAAATTAATACATAAATCAGTAAATAAACAGACATGATATTAAACAAAGACAAATATGTTTCAAACTAGCATTGTATTCACCCAAATCATTATTCTATCATAGTTCACAAAATGCTCAGATAACATTCCAGAAGTAAGCACTTATATAAACATTTAAAAGGACAACATATATAAACATTCCAGAAGAAGAATAGTTTACTTTTGCAACACGAAACTTAAAATCGCAACGCGAAATGACTATCGCAACGCGGAAATGGCTATCGCAATGCGAAATGAAAATCGCAACGACAAAATCGCAACGCGAAATGAAATCGCAACGCGAAACACAAATCGCATTGCGATTTTCATTTCGCGTTGCGATTTCATTTCACATTGCGATTTTGTCGTTGTGATTTTCATTTCGCATTGCGATAGCCATTTCCACGTTGCGATAGTCATTTTCGTGTTGCGAAAGTAAACTATTCTTCTTCTGCAAATTGAAACTTGAATGGATTGCATTACTTCAACCAAAAGACAAAAACAAAACCAAAAACAAATACTAACAAAAATAGTTTAGCAGTATTGGCAGCAACCGAATGAATTACGAGTATGAAAAATCTTAAACTTACCTCGTTGCGTAGAGTATGAACCTCATTCTGCAACGATGCTACCATCTCACGTAGAGCGGCTACCTCACCGCGTAATGTAGACACCTCAACACGCCATGCACCATCGTCTTTGCGTAAAGTACCGACCTCCTCACGCAAGGCATTGACCTCATCACGTAACTCCCCTAACTCATCCCGTTGAGGTGGAGGTGGAGAACAGGGAGATAAACGTCGTGGCATCTTTGCCGGTCGCCTATCTTGCGGTGATGGTAGAGAAGAGGCTCGATGATGTGACAGAATAGGTGATGGCTGTCGTTGTGGAGGTGTATAGCCGGGTCGATCAGATGATGGCTCTGGGTGAGGTGATAGCTCTGGGCGAGGTGATGGCTCCCGAAGTGGAGGCTGCTCATCAACCGTTCCATCAAAAAAACACTTACTAGCTTGCCACCAATCAGTGGCAAGCTCAGCTTCCGTGGGTGTCAGCCTCTGTAGAGGAGTGTTGGCCTCCTAACAATATAAAAGCTCAAACAAAGTTAAACGTGTACTAGTAATAACTTGTTTATAAACATATGGTAGTATTTATGTTAACTTATATTATTTATTGTCGTATACCGTAGTAAATCTTCCTATTGCAAGGTCCGTTTCCTCTTCCAGGAAATAGCCCTGGGAATATCATTTGAAGTTTTTATTGCATATGTCTTCATGGCGGGAAATGCCTCAAATATCCAAATCTACAAACAATATAATAACAAACATTAGTAATTGTTAAATAATTACTTATAATTTTGGAAACATCATATAAAAATTCTTACCTTAAAGGCCCAAATAAAGCCTGTCAAAGTGTATTTGGAACCATCGCCATGCAAACTTTTTCGATCATCCAAGGCAGACGATAACTTATTCCATGTAGCTTTCCATAAATACGAGCCCCACGGAAACAGGTTCCACGCATTTAGGTCTTCTACCAATTTGATTAGATCATTTGGAATAGGTTGTCTGGCCTCTCTGCCTAAAAAGCCGGCATGCAAAAGAATTAGAAGGCATACTCGGACAACGTCGACGTCATCTATCCGAGTAAAACCATCTTTATTATTCAACAATCTTGTCAGGTCTTCTACGTGTAGACTCGGCCTCTCCAGCTCAGGAAAAACCCGGGATAGCCATGATGGGCGGGTAATGTGTCTAGTGTACCGACCTACATCATCGTGTCCGAAGCGTAGACCGGTGATTAAGCAAAACTCCTCCCGCCCAAAACACGTATACGCCGGTGGAAAATCAAACCATATCTCTTCATCACGACGTTGTATAGTCTCTGGTAGATCGCTAGTCATGGTTTGAAGAAACAGGTGTGTCAACATCGCATCTCCACCGGGATGTTGTACTTTTAGCCATGGCCCGAAGCATGTATCCTCAAACATTTTTCTTTGTGCAGGTGAAAGCTTCGACGCAATTGTTTTGGCCAGGCTGACTTTATTTCTCAAGGTCAATTGAGCCGAATAAAAGTTCTACAAAAACAATAAACATACTAAGTTAGATATACCAAAAACTACACTGTGAAGATATACCAAAAACAATAATAAACATAAAGAAGTAGTAGTTTATTCTTCAAACTTAAATTTGCATCACTGTGAATTTCTTATTTGTCTTTGTTTTTTTGTTGAAGTAATGCAATTCATTCAAGTTTCAATTTGCAGAAGAAGAATAGTTTCTGAAAATGAAAATCGCAACACGAAAATGACTATCGCAACGAGAGAATCGCAACGCGAAACTAAAATCGCATTGCGATTTTCATTTCGCGTTGCGATTCTCGGTTGATTTAATAAGCAATCTAAGTGAAATGGTTAATCTATTATTGAAATTACCAGTAAACTTATCATCAATTTCAATATGAAAAAACCTAATAATAATGCAAAAATTTCAAAAAGAAAATAATTAAAAAAACTAACCCTCGTTGGTTGATTTGGTTGATTTTCCATTTCTGATTGTGAGGGTGGCTCTGAGAGATGGAGATAGACGGATTTCGCCGGAGATGGGGACGGATTTCGTCGGAGATGGGTGAGAGAGTGAGAGATGGAGATGGGACTGAGTTGTGATTTTAGGTTTTAGGTTATGAGTTGCGATTACGGGATATACTGTGGACGGTTCAGTGTTCCAATATATTAATATTCGTGTTTGGAATTTAAAAATAAAATACTTGGCCATGATACTAATGGCGCTTTGAAAATCGCATTGCGATTATGTATTATCGCGTTGCGAAAGTCAGAATCGCGTTGCGAAAGTCAGTATCGCGTTGCGAAAGTAAGTATCTCGTTGCGATTTTGTATTATCGCATTGCGATAGTCAGTATCGCATTGCGATTTTCCCAATTCGCGTTGCGATTTACTTATTCGCATTGCAATTTTCCCAATTCGCGTTGTGATTTACTTATTCGCATTGTGAATTGGGAAAATCGCAACGACACTGTAGACCATCGCAACGCGATTTTCAACTATCGCATTGCGAAAATGCAACGCGAATTTGCGATAATGGAGATCGCGTTGCGAATTAGCGATCGCATTGCGATTTTGTTGGTCATTTTGGTAAATTCGGAAAAAGTTTGTTAAAATCGTATATTATATGGGATTTTTGGTCACTGAGGTTATTTTCTCTAAAAAAAATCATATTATAAAATGAGTCCAAACTAAAAATTAAATTTTAGAGTGGAGAACTATTTGTAAATCATATTATGTTGAGAATATGCAACTTGTGCTATGCTAACTGTTAAGCATTCAGATTCATTAAGCTTTGAGGGTACAAGGATCCTGGCAGTTCCTCATTTAAGACTACTGATTTCATAGTTTCTAAAGGTTTTCTCTCATATTAAGGTTAAAAAAATAAATATTAAAAGATTAAATAAATAATTATTAAAAAATTATATAAAGGTTTAAAAAATAATTAGAGTGCATAAAAAGAACTAGATACGAGAACAAAATGAAAAATGTATAACGATTAGTTTTGTCAAGAAACCGTAACTAACCTCAGACGTCGAAAAATTTTCTGTTGAAAGTTTGGAACGATAATTTGATTGGGGATTTTCTCTATTCTTTTTTAGCATGTGTGTATAATATTATAAACGCTGGTCTTACCTGTGACTTGATGCAAGAAGACTTCTGTAGTTTCCTGGTCTTCTGTAACGATACAATCAGTATATGCACTGCAAATGGAGGAAAAAATATATGCATATGGACACAAGAGACAATGTTATACAAAATTCAGTAAGAATACCAGCCAAAGCATACAAAGTTCAGTGGAATCAACATAGTCATATTCATGCATAGGTAAAATGTTCAAGGGAAAAAAACAAAAATTGTCATTTCTCTGCCTTTTTTTCTTCAATGCCAAAGATGCAATAGGGTCAGTCACAAGTAAAGACATGTGAAACACAAGTGGACAACGAATAAGATTTTTACTTTGTGGCTTATTTGTGATTCGAACAGGATACTGATACTTGATAATGCAGTATTGCAGGTACAGAAGTAAAAAATGACAAAAGGCGTAATTTCATAAAAAAGTGATCATTTTCATTAATATTTCGTAGGTACATAAGTAAAAGAAATATAGTACTAGCATGGAAGATAACAAAAGGCGTCTTAATCCTTAGCTAACTTCTAAATTAGGCTTAATTTTGAATGCTAATCTAATAAGTTAATAAATAAAATACTTTAAAAATATGTGAAGCGAATGTTATCTCATTGATATATATGTTTACTGCAATAGAACAAGATAATGAAGCAACCAGACACTTATTATAGGCTAACTAAGGTAAGTCAAACCTTTGAAAACAACAATGCAGCAGAGACATTCACTTCGAAACTTCCATTAAACCCTTAAATCCTCAACATTGAAGCTTGCAAAAGAAGCACATCACTAAGCAAGAACAAGAAACGCTTTGAAACCCCAAATATTTTCAAAGATTATCTTTTCACTAAGACCCAAGTCCCCAGCAAGAGAATTTACAGTGACCAAAAGTTAAAACCCCACAACCCCAAAGCAAAAAATTGAAATCACAAAGTGTTTCACTTCACTCGCTACTCAAAATAAAGGTCAGATTTTTGTAACCCACAATACACTTGTAGAAAAAAGTATCAAAATGGTAAAAACCCAACAGTTTCCCATTTTTTAACAGTCCAAAATCTTTTTTTTCCATTTAAAAACACAGACCACGAGAAAAAATCCGTGAACAGTGAAACATAAGCTATATAGAAACCCAAGGTTGCATTTTTTTTAATGAGAAAAACACTGTAATCTGCACTGTTGTGATAAGTTATGAGAGAACGGTGATTTGAAAGAAAAAAATCTATATACAAACTGAGGACACAACTATTCCGACTCGGATGCGAACAACTCGGATGCTTTAGGGAGAATAACATTACTCTCGATGAATTCTGAAAAAAAGTTGAATGGTCTCAAAGTGTGGTGAATTTGTACCTTTTTCTGGCAGGTTTTCCCTAATGGTTTCAATTATTTGTTGACCGCATCAATCTTCTTCCTCACTACGGCAACTTCCTTTCTCATGGGATCTGCTAGTGCTTCAAGCTCATGAAAGATTTACATGGTTTTATAAGGCACTCTTTATCAAAACCAAAACCTCGCGAAATTTAAAACAAAAAAAAGTAAAAGAAGAGAAATTGAGTAGTGAAATGAAGGGCGAGAGAGAAAGGTTGGAAGTGAAGGGAATTGGAAAGGAATTGAAGATAGTAAAAGGGTAAAAATGGTAGATCAGAGAAAGTTCAAGAGAATTCTAAAGCAAGCAGAAGAAGAAAGCTGTAACTTTTAGGTGTTTCTTCTTCTTCTAGGGTTCGGACGGAGGAGAATGACGTGAATAAAATTTCCCCCTTTTGTATTCCCCTTTAGGTTTTTGGGGTCCGTAGCTTGGCTTCTTTCGCTGGATCTCGGGGTTTCATCTTCTTGGATTTGTATTCCAGGTTCATCTCTAGAAAAATGAAAAAGGGTTAAAAAGGGCGTGGGACTTGGAAACCATAACCTTGCGTCATTTGTATTTACAAGCGCCACTAATGTACTAATAAATTGCAGCGTTTATTCAAAAAAAAGCCACTAAAGTACGGGTCTTTGGCGGCGTTTGTATAAAAACGCCACAAAAGTACGGGTCTTTGGCGGCGTTTGTATAAAAACGCCACGAAAGTACGGGTCTTTGGCGGCGTTTGTATAAAAACGCCATAAAAGTACGGGTCTTTGGCGGCGTTTGTATTAAAACGCCACTAAAGTATGGGTATTTAGCGGCGTTTGTGCTTAAAACGCCACTACAGTACGAGTATTTAGCGGTATTGTTTAGAAACACCACTAAAGTATGACTCTTTGGCGGCATTTGTGCTTAAAACGCCACTAAAGTAAAGTATTTAGCGGCGTTTATACAAAAACGCCACTAAAGTATGAGCATTTAGCGGCATTTGTGCTTAAAACGCCACTAAAGTACATTATTTAGCGGTGTTTATACAAACACGCCACAAAAGTACTAGCTTTTAGCGGCGTTTGTGCTTAAAACGCCACTAAAGTATAGTATTTAGCGGCATTTATATAAAAACGCCACTAAAGAACAAGTATTTACCGGCGTTTGTTCAAAAAACAACGCTAAAAGTGTCGCTAAAAACCCATTTTGCTGTAGTGTTAAATGAAATCAACAAGGCCTTTACATAGACACTAGGTGCCAAAACAAAAAAATAAGAAAATCTATTAAAAATCATAAAAGACCACTATCTCCTATATCACCCCTTGGCCTTTCAGCTACAAAAACTCTTGAACTTTTATTTTCCCACTAAAAACAACATTTAAAGTTTATTCAACACACCTGGAGAATGCAGTTGTTAACTGGGAGAAGGGGTGTTGCCATTTTGTATGCATATATGTTGCTCGGTCTGGGTTTTCTAAGGACTGTTACTCCTGATTTTGGTGGTTTGACAAGTCGAGAACAACAGCTTGAGGGGACTTTTAGGTAATTCTAGTATCCACGTTAAGAATGGTATGTTAAAATGTGAAGATACGAGGTAAGAATGGTATGTTTAAAAACTGCAAAGATGTTAATTACATCTAGGCTTATTTATCTTGAAATTTTCCACTAAGGTACTTCTGTGTAATTTTATGGATATCTGGATGTTGTTCTGCATATATATCATTCTAATAACTTGCACTATATTTTAATTAGGTTCATCCATGAAAGACTGCGCACTCATGCTGAATCTGTTGCTTTCTTTGGAGGCGGTGCTCGGGAAAAAGCAGTAAGATATTTAACTAATTGTTGTATCTGATACATTTGAATGCCTACCATTGTTTTCATCATTTTTTTACACTGATGTAGGCATTTCCTTGTGAAAAATTAGATGGAAAACAGGAGTAGTTTGAATCTATCTATAAGCTGGTAGTTTGGATACACCTTATGTTTATATTTACAGTTAGCATGATAGACTGAAACCAAAAGATAAACAGGTGCGTTTGGTTCACGGAATGTAAGATTATCAATGGGAATAAAAGATTACCAGGGAATAGGATCACTGGGAATGTTGTATTTTGTGTTTGGTTGGTTTAGCAGGAATGTAAGATTACCGTGTTTGGTTAAAGGAATAAAAGATTATTGGAATGTATATTTAACTAAATTGTCCTTATTATATATTTGTATAATATTACAAATTGTAAAATATTTATATATTTTCTTTAAAAAATTAAATTCATAATATTTATATAATTTTTTTTACAAAATTAAAAATATAAAAAAGGTTTAATGAAAAGGTAAAAAAAATTTAACCCTGAACTTCATATAAATATTGATAATATTACAAATTGTAAAAATTTATATATTTTCTTTAAAAAATTAAATTCATAATATTTATATAATTTTTTTTACAAAATTAAAAATATAAAAAAGGTTTAATGAAAAGGTAAAAAAAATTTAACCCCTGAACTTCATATAAAATTTTAATTATAGACTTTTTTTTTGTAAATCTAAAATCATTTAAGGATAAATTTGTAATTTAACCTTCGTAGAATTTTTATTATTCAATGACAGAAGAAGAATATTTTTGAAAAAAAATAAAAATTTAAGGGCATTTTAGTCCAAAATGCCGGTAATGTTACAATACCTAAGGGAATGGATGTAATGACAATCCCGGTAATATACCCCAAAAAATCTACTATTTGTAATAAAACATTACCGGGAATGAGATTCCCGACCAACCAAATATAGGAACGTGGGATTCTCATCCCATGGGAATCCCACAATCCTTGAACTAAACACCCCTGTATTGTTTATACATTCCAAAGACATATATGGTTTGATTGATGCCTTCCCTCTCTTTGTTTTTTTATATATAAATAATATTTTACCGTGAAATGACATGAATTCTGGAATATTTTACGGATCATGGTTTATTATTCCTCCCCCATTGCAAGGTTTGCAGCTGAGCATGCATTATGCAACATTAATATTTCTCCAGAACTTCCATTACCTGTCTCTAATTATATGTTTCTTAAATTTAACAGATGGTCGACTCAAGATCGGTCGACTCTGTGTCGTACTGGTCTAGGGTGTTACAATATGAATGTGATAATTTTTCTATGAATATTTTTATATATGAAAAATGATATAAGATCTAAATAAAAGTTCATTGTATGAGACTTGATAATTAGTGATACATGAGGTGGAGTGTTATAGGTTGATCTTGATTAGTGTTGTACCCTATATCAGTGCATCCGTGCATTATTGAATTAGTACGAATATGTACTCTTGTATAGTGCAATTGTGCACTCCTATATTAATGCGAATATGCACTCATGTATAGTGCAATTGTGCACTCTTGTATTAGTGTGAATACGCACTCCTCTATTAGTGCTTTGTGCACTTTCGTATGAGTATCATTGGGTGATTTTGTATTTAGTACATTCGTGAACTCCTGGCACTATGTGTTCAATTATTGGGTTCATGGTGTTTTGACGTCATGAACTACCATCCCGATACCCTATTATAGTATTATTGTGTTCTATAGTATCTATGCTCCTGTTTAGCATTCGATGAGACTTGTATACTTGATATTCTCAGTTAAAATATATTGGGCTATAAAACGAAACTAAAATAAATAATATAGTAAAAGATACATTACAGTAAAAGATATAGTACATTAAAACATACAGAACAATAAATAAATCAGTTCAGTGAAAAGAACAGTACATGAAAAAAGAGATAATATGGAAAAAGGAACAATACAAGAAGAAATGATAGTACAAGTTTAATTATTGTATTACAATAAAGTTTTATATGCAAAACTTGATTTATATTGAATGATTTATAGACAAAAATTACATTGTATTGGATTGGATTGGAATATGATTGATAATCATATATGCGTAATGTGAATATTATAATAGTTGTTATCTGTGGGTGGTCGTGTGGCGGTAGATAACAATCATAAAGAAGATGTTTCAATAAATTTTAATTATAGATATTACAAATGTTAAATATATAAGGTGATGAAAAAGTATATGATAAAAGTTGTGTTAAAATCGTAAAGTAATATAATATGAGAAAACGTAACAAAGAAAGGAGAAAATATGGTAAATGGCTAAGCGTTTATGTATGAGTAGTAATAAATCATGTTATAAAGATTAATCGGTAAATTTTTAAATTAGGTAGTTTTTAATTGTGATATGAAATAGTATTAAACTGTCTAATTTTTATCTGAAACCGAATAAGAATTAGGAATTAAATATTTCATTATAATTTTATGTGATTAAATAGTTTAATAATAAATGTTAAATTTGGAAATTCTAAAAGAAGCAAAAAATTTACCAACTTTTAAGTAGGAAATGTTATATATAAATAATGTGATATCCTTATCTTGTATTCAGACACGAATGTGGATTAAGGGTGTTACACGATACAGAGGCCAGTATCGATACTAAGGGAATACTAAGTCCCTTAGTGTTAGTACCCACGGGCAGTTTTTTTGGAAAGAATTCCAAAAGTTTAAAGGGGTAGAATTGTGAATCCCAACACTTGCCACAAAATAAAACTAAAAGTGAGAGCAGTAAACATACTCAGAATAGTTAGAAACAATAACAACTAAGATGATATAAAACTAGCCTGTTTGACACTCTGGACATAGTCAGGAAACCCGAGTTACTTTAGCAAAATACGACAGTCAGTTGGATATCACAGTCAGTGTCAAGGCATTTAACCACCAGTTTGGCATAGATGCCCAAGACTTGACAAAGTAAGCTGACCAGACATTTCCGATGCAATTCCGGATCTCACCCAAGAGTACCCGAGGGTATTCAGGCAGGCTAGAGGGGTGTGTGAGCTCCTAGATGCATAACCCTCAGCTGCACCATGACGCCATCCACAACTTTGAATATTAGTAGTACTCATGTTTTTATACTTGTGCCCGCATTTAGTGAATGCATGTAGTATATTATAATTATTAGTGAGGCACTGAGCTCGTAAGCTCAGCGTTCAGAATATGTTTCCGTGCGTAGGTTCTTAGGAGGACGTTCATGGGGAGTTATCGTCGCCAGATATTCCAGATCAATAGTTCATATCAGCCAGACTTTTCAGATTATATCTTGAGTCATTTTTAGAGGACATATACTAATTATGGACCCTTTTTGTATCCAGTCGTAACTCTTTTGATTTAAACGTTGTATTGTATTATTTTGATTAATTTGGGAGCTCCCTAGTATTAGTAAATTCAGTTATTTATGAATTTCACTTTATTATGATGGATGGGTTTTTACTTATTACAATTTACAATCATTTTAAAAGAAAATTTTTGTGTTAGTCAATTCGATGGTTCCCTGTGACATCGTGATCCAATAATCTTCGGATCGAACTAGATTAGAGTGTTACATAAACATTGATTATAGATCTTGAAACAAGGGCAATGAAAACAAGGCGAACTTCATGCTAATTTCCTTCTCACTTGCCTATTTTCTGTGTCAATTGCCTCGTGACTTTCATGACTTTTCTTTGAAGTTCTTTTTCCTGTTCTACATGGTTTAGAGTGAATATTTTTTTTTTATTAATCAAAGAGGATTATAAAGGATAATAGTTATTGTTGTTAGAACTAAAAATCTTTAGGAATATTAGCTATTCCTTTAATCACTTAATCATTGAGGTAATTATGTGACTTTCATGACTCTTTGCTTTATTCTAATTTCCACATTGTAATTCCACTACCAAACTGTTCTTAAAATATTTTCATTTCATAATCCAATAACTTTAGTGCAATCCTTGATCAAAATAATGTGAGCTATACGAAAGATTATTTTAGAAATAATATATCAATTGATTTAATCACTATCACCTTTATGATAATAATTTACGATAACTTAAAAAGTCAGTTTTTTTATTTTTATTTTTTTAATTGATAGAATGTGCTAAAGAATTACAAGGAGCGCCTCAAATGAGGAGGACCATGAATATCCCGAGTGATCAGAAGTAGCACGGCTGCACGGATAGAGGAGGGGCTTCATATAGTGTCGTGGAAAAAAAACTATCTATCAGCCAACTTTGTCATTGCATATGCCACATAGTTTGCCTCTCTTGTAACCCGCTGAATGGAAGCTTCCCAATCATATGCACGAATTCTCTGGATTTATCGAACGAGCGATAAAGGATTTGTTGATGCGTCGGCGCCAGTAATAAATTTGACAGCATGAAGAGAGCCTGATTGAATCTGCAACCTGCGATGCCTCTAGCCCAAGCTGTCTGCAAACCAATCATAATACTCCATAACTCAGCTTGAAGGACATTTGTGTGGCCAAGAAATCTGATGAAACCCAACACCCAAGAGCCGATTGCTCCATCAACGTTCAGGCAGAACCAAGCGTTCGCAGGTTTCTCCCGTCGCACGAGCAAGTGCAGTGTTCTGGAGTATTGCTGTTCGATGAGATACAGTCATTGAAATGTTGAGCACAAGCTAGACTTATTCGAAGGACCTCCTCAGCTGATCTGGTCGACAGATTGAAGACAGTCATTTCTTCTCTGCCAAACAATAGAAGAGAAAGTGAGATGCCAAGGAGTGCGAGTATTACATTGTTGGCCTCCAGACTTCATGTTAGCAAAAATCCAGTCGTCCAAGTCGAGGTCGAAATAATGTGACGGCATGCCTTGATTGTAGATCCGTAGCCAAACAATAGAACAATCTCGTAAAACATGTAAGATTGTTTCTTGACTATTTCCACAAAGAGTGCAAGAAGGGTCATTGGAGAGATTGCGTCTACATCTTTAGGAGTTTGTCATAAGTCGTTGATGAACTAACGTCCAAAAGAATAAACGGATTCGCTGAGGTACTTGCAGTTTCCAGATGATGCTCCATTTTGGATCACAACTTGGCCAGAAGCTATCGACCAAGATTTTATAGCCCGACTGAACACTAAATTCATGCTTTGGTCAACATCTCCAAATAAGAGAATCAGAGTTTTCACAGTTTGATGGGGTTAATACCCATAATATGGTTCACAACAGTTGCTGGCAGAATAGTTTTGGAGTTCTCGATTTTCCATTATAAAAGGAAAAAATATTTAATAATAATTTACAATAAATTTCTTAAAAATGATTTTAAGAACAGTTCATGACATAATATTGTTTTCAGTTATAAAAGGAAAAACATTAACAATCTATTGAATCAGTTTTTTATAAATGTAATTATGCAATGGTCTTTTAAATCTATATACATGTATGTTAATGAATTTAATCGGTGCAAACTGCTATATATATGTATTTATATTTGAATTATGAAAAGTATAAAAAATGAAAAAATATTAACAATTTTTTTTCCATTTTTTTGTACATTTCAGTACAATATTATACAAATGACATCTGATCTCTAAGTTTCCCCTTTAATTGTGGCATTGACGCCGGTTTCCCAATCATCTTCAGAGTGTTCCAATGGCAACCCCTCTGGCTAAACGAAACAACAAAGGAGCTGAAAATTTACCTGAAGAAGAAAACACTATGAAAATTCATTTCATTGATTTGTTCCAATTTTTCACACATCCAACTGAACCCATTATTCCAAAACCAGCTGCATATGCCGGTCCAGGTCATTTAGATAGCTGGCTCGATTATAATCTAGGAAATCACAACCGTCTACTATCACTGCTTTCCCTCCAAAACCTTTCTGTTGCCACTCTACCGGACCATCTTCGTTCTTAAGCAACTCTACGACCTGAAAAATGGCGATGAATGTTTAGTTCATCGAAAGGATTGAATGAAAATGAAGGTGATTTCGAAAAAAAATTTGGTGTGCTTACCCTACTCATGCTTGGACGTAGTTTGGCTAAGTGGTTTATACACAAGAAAGCTGTAAACATTGCACGTTTCACTTCGGTTTGATCGTAATTGTCTTCTAGTCGAGGATCTACCAATTCCTTCACTTTATTTTTTTCCAGAAGTGGTTTTCCCTGTATCGGAAACGTGGAAACGAAGTTCATATCTTTCTGGATTATATTAAAAAATGCTGGATTGCTTTTGGTCTAGTAGATGTACCCAAATCACGAGGCTTTGTCTGGACGAATCAACTGCACGGCGGCCTGTTAATATCTCCAGTAGTAGAACTCCGAATGCGAATACATCGGTCTTTTCATCGACTATTCCATGCATGAAATACTCTGGAGCTAAATATCTGTAGGCAATTTTCATACGCATTAGCCCCAATGTTATTGACCTTATGAAATGAGTAACGATAATAGCATATCGAGTGAAGATGTCAAAAGAAGCTGCATGACTAACCCGAATGTTCCTTCGATGGGATGGACAACATGTTGATGCCAATTCTCTGGTAGCCACTTTGCCAGACCGAAATCCGAGATCTGCAATGAGAAGAAGAAATCAACATATCCATGTTAGATACATTCATATTGGATCCGCGTGACATAGGTACATGGAGATTACACACATGAGCTTCATAATCTTCGGTGAGCAATATGTTGGAGGCCGTGATGTCTCGGTGTATAATGCGCTTCGGACAGTCATGATGGAGATATTTCAGCCCCTCTGCTATCCCGGTGGCCACTTTATACCTTGTCTTCCAATCTAGACATTCATCTGAACCTGCAGTGCAGAACATAATTCTAAGCCATTTAGATCCAATACTTTGCTTGTTTTTCTCCCCAGTGGAAGAGAGCAACAGGCATAGTAGAGTACCAAAAGCACAGAAGCAAGGCTGCCACGAGGGGCAAACTGAAGGACTAAGTGCAAGCCTCCATCAACACCGAATCCGATCAAGCGAGCTGCATTCGGGTGATTGATGTGAGCAATGATCCCGAGTTCTAACAAGAAATCATTGGCTATATCTTCTTCTTCTTTCTCATTCTTTGTTAGCTTCTTCACTGCTACAACTTGGCCATCAGTTAAGTGCCCTTTGTATACTTCCGCATTTCCCCCTTCTCCCAGCAAATTCTCTGCAAGATTTTGATGAACAGTTACAATCATACTTCGAAATCAATATCATAAATCATAAACTAAACTACCAGCTTGACATGTAAATTATTTTAGTTTTTTTTTTACCAGGGCTGAAATTATCTGTAGCAACAGCAAGGTCGGAGTAAGAAAAAGTCTTCCACAATGGCTTATCGACAACACCAGCCTCGGGGCAATAAAGTCTGGACAATTTTCTCCACTTCTTTCTCGAAATATCGTAATTATATGTGAGCGAAGGGATAATAGAGAAACCTTTCGCTGATTTCTTCTTGATGTTTTCAATCACACTCTTCCATTGCGAAGAATAAGAATCTCGGTTCCATTTCGGGAAGACAGGAGGCAGCTTATGAGGATAGTAGGCAGAATTGCTGGTCCAAAGCCCGCTGATATCGGAATACGTTACCCGGACGGGCAACTCCGATTCCCTTCTCGACGGTGGATCGTTATTTCCATCTAATGATTCACTGCTCGTAAGAACCTCGGATTTTGATTCCGTTTCTGGCTCTATCTCTTCTACCATCTCTCTTCTTGTATCTGCATGAAATGTATATCACCATTTCACCAATCCAAATCCATATCTTTGTATCCAGAACAAGAAATAAAACAACCCCATTTCACAAGAACATGAAAAAATTATTTTAAAAAATCAACAAATGAAAAATAAAAAGAAAAGAAAAACATGGAGAAATAATCATGAAATACCTATCACAACCATTATAACCAAGGTCGTGTTAAAGTGAATGTCAATGACGAAAAGAATGGAAATTAAAATAGCGATTTGTAACGTTAAGTTGAGATCGCTATTTAAATTTTTGTTATCAAATTTTCAGAAGAAACGAAATACTTTCTGTATTTCTCCATTAAAATTCCTCTTCAACCTTAAACTTGATAAGTTCTTGGATGACTAAGAAACAGGAAAATCCTCCCAAAAGAAAATCAGGGGCGGGGGGTTTCCAATCCCAGTCTTTAGGTAAATTGGTTTATAACCAAATAATTGTAGAAAAGATAAAAGTGAAAAATGGTTTCATAATTTTGGAATTTGGTTATTCTTAGGAACACCAGAGCAAATTTAAAAAACCAGCTTAAATTATTCATAATGTTTTGGTAAAGATCTCTCCTATATTTATACAACTACTTTTTTCTTTTTAATTTCTTAAGGATAAATCATTTAAATAACAAAAATATTGAGAAAATGATTTAATTGATCATCTTGTCCAAAAATTGAAAGTGTTAGGCCTCACCAGTTAAGTAGCTCGAAAGGAAAGCTAAAACTCGAACCATGGAAGAGATCCGGCAGCTCGATTCTTTCAAGAAAAAATAGTTTCAAGAATTGAACATAAGATCAATTTCTCTTGCAAGCTCTCGGACTGTCCAGATAGTGACCACCGTTGCCAACTAATAATAGATGGTCCGATCTCCGACCACCCAAACAATGAGTACCTTCCCAAGACATTTGCAGAAAGCAAGATCATGCTTTAAAGAAGAGTAATTTAGAGAAAGAAAAAAGTAAATTCAAAGTAAATTACAGCGAATAATTTAACCGATGCGAATTGAACACTGAAAAATAACAAAATTCCATGCATGGATCAATCAGCCACGCGCATATAACTAATAAACCGAAAGCATCACCATGGAATCTTGAACTTGAAAGCGTCACCGTCAATTTCAAACTAATAAACCGAAAGGGAAAAAATATAATCATGGTGTATAGAAAAATAAGGATAGATTATGTTTTTAGTCACACAATTTTTTACGTACTTTTGTTTTGGTTATTCCATTTTAAATTTTTTGTTTTTTGTCACTAAACTTTTTTAATTTTATTTTAATTTTCTTGTTTCATTATTGTTAAGTATTTAACTTCGTTTGATTATTGCATTTTTAAATTAAGTGGATAGGATGTTGAAAACATTAAATCATAAGTGGGATGAAAAGCAACTTCTACAATCAGTCTAAATGTGAATAAGTAACAAATAGTATCAAACTGAAAACAGACACAGTTTGCTTATTCTCAATGATCCACCAGATTAAACAATTCATGACAATAATTTTCCTAGTGTGTGTATATATCACACACTCATAGCAGCCATGACTCTTTAAAGTAAGATGATGGAAGTAATTAGTATTAGACTATAGTTCAAACCTTTACACAAATTGTTTTGCAGAAAAAGACAACATAATCCTAAATGATGGAATATGAAAACGTTTACAAACACAACAGAGTGAACCAACCGATGACACGTACATTGCTATGGCTTGATCTTGTGGATCCATCAACAACAAAACAATTTCTTTAAAGGAAAATTGAGGGAGGAAGCAAGCTTCTCAATCTTAAGCCTGAGCTCTCCATCAGGAAGCTATTTCCCACAGTGCCGTACCAAGAACAAACAAACAAACAAATTAAGACTTGGGGAAAAGAAGGAGCTTGAATGAAACTATGAAACGATGGTTATGAAGTACTCACAGGGGTGAAATTGTTAAAGAGTGGAGCTATCAAAATAGGGTAAATTGTCATCATCACAAGAGAAAGGACAAACAAAAATGACCAAAGATAGACAGCCAGATATGGACCTCCTTCCTGCAATCTCAGAATTAAGAATCATCATGGTGAGAGAAGGGTGACATAATATCAAAAAGATTAGAGAGTGAATAAAATCATAAAGGCTTGTTGTTAAGATAACAATTGTCTGATTATTATAGCAACGGACCAGCAATTTGCACAATTTACCTGTACTATCCAAATAATGAACGTACCAAAAATTTTCCTTTCAATCCTAGATTTTTTACTCTTTTTATTCACATGATTCTTTTTTAAATTAAGTGGATAGGATGGAAATAAGAAGAGAAATAATGTTTTCAATCCTAGATTTTCCTTTCATCCCTAGATTTATTCACAAAATGGTTTAGAATCGATTACATCATGAAAGATGATCAACAATAATCAAACGACTATAGAAAAAGGTTCTAACCACGAGGAAAAAGGATGTTAAAACATTAGGTTAATTCTATAAATAAAATATTCAAAATGCAATGTTTTGATTTATCGTTACATGATTAACGAATCGGTGACCCCTAAAATAAATTTAGAAATCAAAGTCATAAAATTTTAAGATTAAATAACTATATTAGTAGAATAATGTACCAAAATAATGAACGTACCAAAAATTTCAAGATTGCGTTATATGCCAAGATAGTACATATTATTGATCAATTCAATAAATTTACCTAAGTATATAATGTTTTGAACATAATTATAAGATACGAAATCAAAGTCCTATACCAGATTAGATAACTATGCTTTTTTTTAGGTTTAGTGAATAATTTTTAATTCATTTTACTTTGCAAAATATGCATTCATTCAAATTATCCTTTCGCTTCATCCAATAATTTGATGTGTGCTTTTATGTCTAGTGATGTTTTCACTATTTAATATTTATAAAAAAAAAACATTTTAGTCCTTAAATAGTTTTTTAATTATATTCTAATCATATGAAAAAAATAAAATTATTTAATATTTTTATTAATTTAGTATATCAAATAATTTTACATTTGATAATATCATTATTAAAGATAATGTTACATTCTTCGATTCAAGTGTTCACTTAAATCTTTTAACAGAATAAGGCCCACCCAAAATTTGCCCAACAATACGAAGAAAAAATTGTCAACCCAATATCTCGACTCTTAGACCCATAACGGTATCCAAAATATCAAAACTCGCCAATCTTTACTGACGCCGCCAAAACAGTGATGTCTCTTCTCGGCGACGACGGACGAGGCTACGACTTAGCTCGGCTGTTGGAGTCGTGCGGCGTCTGGAGAGAATGGCTGGGAGGTTCAACCTACGCCTCTTTCGTTCATTTTCTCTCCTCTCCATCGGCTTGGGAATCGTTCATGCGCATTGACGACTCAACATCTAGGGCTCAGATCCATCTCCAGCTCAGATGTCGAGCCCTCTTGTTTGATAAAGCCACCGTCGCTCTCTTCCTCAGATCACATCCTACCAACGCCGCTAACAATAATTCCTCATCCTCCACCTCTTCTTCTTCAATTGATGTTTCAAAGCTTAATCCGAATTGTAAGATTTTCTCCCCAATAATGAACTAAATGGAGGTATTTAATTATTTGAAGAAAAAAAACCTTACTATTTTTTTGCTTCGGTTAGATTTACAATTGCACGGGGATGACGTGTATTTTACTTTGGAGGGTTCGTCACAGGATGGTGGTGCTGCATCTAATACGGCACCGTCCAAGGTTTGATTTTTTCTCTTTACTTCAGTGTTCAGTTTTATAGTTTCTTTCTAAAGTGCATATATCAGTAAATAATGAAAACAAATACAACTGAGTAAACGGTGAAAATTATTTCTCTTCCAATATAGTAATTTTTGTATACACGTAAAATCATGCATTTGCATTTAGAAAAAGAAGTTAATTTTCTTTAAACTTTTCATCTTTCTCCAAAAAAAACATCTTTTAGAAGTTTTGTTTGATTTTTTTATCCAGATTCCAGACGTTGTTGCCCTTTTTCTACCGTAAGTTTAATTTAAATTAACTGTTTCCCGTTTTCTGGAAATCAGTCAAAATCATCTTTTAGTGCCGGATCAAGGTATGTTGAACCGGAATTTGATAGCTTATCCCAGAGATATAGGAATGACGAGTTGCGTGAGACTTGGTATAATCAATTTATTGAGAAGTATAAACTTACAAGACCCTATAAGTTGTCTTTGGGGGACCGAGAGTCTGAAAAACGTACCCCAGAGGAAATGACTGTGTATCTTAGAACGCTTGAGAAGCATAAAAGGAGACGAGTGGCATTTCAGGATGATCTGCATACGGGATATGGAAATACTGGTCTAGATGGTAATACCTCGGTCGATGATGACACCCCTTTCTTTCCTGAAACAATGTTTCTGATGAACTGTGTACCCGATAGTCCCCTCCCTCCAACAACCAGAGTGCGGGATAAGAAGGAAATAGAGTTCTTTGGAGTTCTGGATACTCTACCACAGGTTTCAACCCGAAGTCCTGTTATGATTGAGAGGCTTGGTATAAGGCCCGAGTACCTTAATATGGAACAAGGTGCAAACATAAATCGTGGGAAGACTCCCAGGAAGCATCTTAGTCAGGAGCAAGCATCACAAGTTTCTAGAAAGGTCATAGCACGGTTACTGACTGGTGTTGGGTTCGAAGGTGCCACAGAAGCTCCTGTGGAAGTCTTCTCTCAGTTTCTCAGCTGTCATATTTCTAAACTTGGTCGTAATCTAAAAGTTCTTACTGATAATTACAGAAAACAATGTTCCGCCATTGAATTAATCAGGATGTTCCTTCAAACATCAGGATATAGGTAAATTTGAATTCATTTTGCTTTAGTTTATGGCATTGGTACTAGTTCCCTGTCCTGCTTTGAACTTTCCAAAACTGTTATTTTGGTGCCCTTTAATTGGTCTAGAATACTATAAAAGAGAATATATGTTGCATGGAGGTGCTGTTATGAAACTTTTTTGGCACATTTGGGTGGAGGAAGAACTTTTGAATTTGGTTCCCCTTTAATTATAAATTTAAACAATCTTTCATCCTGATTTGAGAATCATAATTTCAGTATTAAGATACTACTGTATTGATGCCTAATTTAGACAGTTTCTGACAAAACCATGTTCATCTTGGATAAGAGCTAAACTACTGGTCTGAAATTATCCTTTTCCTTTGAATTAGGTTGTTATATACATATATATATATATATAGAGAGAGAGAGAGAGAGAGATCCACACACATATAAGTAATGTATGTTTGTGTCTGTCTTTTTGTCTGACTTTTCATTATCTCAACGTTTGATGTTTCATACATCTGTCTCCTTTTGATCACTTAGTTTTATCCCGCTTTATATGAAATTTTCTCTCTTTGATGCATTATCTAACATATTTTGTTTAATTGCAGTAACTTTGGGGCTCTAGCTGAACTTATCAAAGATGGTACTAGCAACTTAGTGCAGCAAACTCAGCAACAAATGCATGCAATCCAGACTCAATTGCAGCCACAGCACCAAAATGCTCTTCGAATGGCCCAGCAAGTATGTATAGTTTTTGTCATTAGACTTCAATTTACCATTAGCAAGCTGGATTTTTATGGTTACAACTTTTTTTCTGAAATCTTTATGGTTCTGGACTTTATCTATTTTTGCCGTTGATATTGTGTTTGGGGTGATTACATCGAATTCTTTGAATGTGCAGCAACTGTTTTGTGTTACAGATGAAAATTTAGGAGAGATGCTCCTTGATTTAGCTTATCTCCTGTATTGCGTTCTTCACCTTTTATTGTAGTCTTTTGCATGTAGTGGTCTACTTAACAACATTTGTTCAATAATTTGATGGTGTAGCTTCAGATGACGAGACAAATGCATCCGCAGATGCAGCAAATGGTTCATACTCAAAACTTATCGTTTCAGCAGCAACAGCAGTTGGAAAGAATGCTCAGGCGCCATCCATCCACCCCTTGTCCTGTTATGGATATGGCAGATAAAGACCGACCTTTAGTGCAAGTTAAGCTTGAAAACCCAGCAGAGCTGCCCATGGATAACAAGTCTTCTAATCCTATCAATGCCCGACATCAGCAAATGCAGTTCCGTCAGCAGCAACTCGTTGCAATGTCAAGTCTGCATTCTCAATCCAACAATCAATTCAGGCAGTTGTTGTCCCCACAAATTCCTCAAACAATGTAAGAAAAGCTCGGATGGAGCATTTAATTTTTTTTATTTAAAAGATTTTTCAACTCGATAATATGCCACGTTTGAACATCTTTCATACATACTATATTCAGGAACATGGGCGGCGTTGTTAGAGCTCCGCCAGTGAAGGTAGAAGGTTTTTCAGAATTAATGGGCGGGGACACCACCCTGAAGCATGAAGCTGAGGAAAATAAGCTGACCTCACCGACCACCACCAAGTAAGTACTTTTGGAAGTACAGTTATCTGAGCCAGCTTATTTCGGCCTTACATGTTTCACTGAAATGTTTTGTATCTTTTGTTGTTAGAAAGATAAGATGCTATGTTTCTATATGCTCTAATTTTGTACATTTGTTCGAACAAATGATGATCTTAGAAGCAAGTCTGAATTCATCGAGGCCGTGAAAAAATGCATTTCGATCTTATTTTTCTTTACAGTGAAATGTGATGATAAACTATTATCAAATTAAAACCAGTTGAAATCAATTTTCACCAAGGCAGCAGATAGAGTATCTGCAACTTGTAGTTTTGAACTTGAATCTGGCTAATTGCTTTATAATCTATATACTCTTAGTATCCGCGATAAAAAAAACCAGCATTGTCACTTTTATTTCTTTTTAATTAAGACGTGGTCACTAAGCATAAACAGTCATTAAGTTGTTAACGCGTATCTGACATGGCCGTTAAGCACTAAATTACTTGAAATATTTAAATTTAACAAAAATGGGTTCCCAACAGTCAATTATTTAAGTCCCTTTAACCTTGAAATCCCTAGCACCGGTGAAATAATCTCTAAAAAAAGAAAAAGGAAAAGAATAAATGACGATTATGAAGACAATCGGGGAAGGAAGCAGTGCAATACCCAATTGCCGTTGTGGAGAAAAAGCTGAAATTGTAACTGCTTGGACTAAGAATAACCCAGGTAGGAGGTTTTCTGGGAGTAAAAATTATGGGAATAAAAACAAGGTTTGTTGCCGAACTCTATGGAGTTTTCATAACTGGTATTTTTCTGCTTTATTTCCCAACATTTTTCATTTAGGAGACAAAATGAAAAGAGGCCGAAGAAAAAAATGTGTACCTTTTAAGAGGGAAACAAAGACTTTATCAAAGATTTTGCTTTCCCATTCACAAATTACAAAACAGAGAAAAGCTGCCCACCCACCAATAAGGAGTCTAATCTCTGAAACGGATATACTTGGAATACAACAGGTGAAGCTGGGCCATCATCTTGAACTACCAATTGCTATTGGCAAAAACAAGACGGCAGCGTTTGGCTTTTTAAAGGAGAAACTGGCAGCTAGGGTTATGGGATGGACGAAACGTCTCCTATCCTATGGAGGGCGTGAAGTTTTCCTAAAATCAATCGCCCAGTCGTTACCACAGTATGCGATGTCCTCTTATCTTTTGTCGGAATCTTTACTTATTGGCATGACTTCTATAATGCGACTGTATTGGTGGACTAGGAAGAGCTTGGCCCGTGGTTGGCCATTGATCGCTTGGTCGAAGATTTGTCAACCAAAAAGACAAGGGGGATTAGGTTTACGCGATGTGCGTTCTTTCAATCTTGCATTAATAGTTTATTCTCCCTAGTCTTGCAGGCCAAATATTTCCCACATGGTGACATTCTGAATGCGAGACAAGGAGACATAATTTCTTATGCATGGAAAGGCATTTTTAGGGCACTTCATTCGATAGAAGGAACCATTTATAGGCGCATTGGCATTAATAGTCAGTTGAATCTGGTTACGTATAAATGGGGTGATTCTACAAAGGTGACACTCACATGGGATTACTCTTCCTCTCCGCCAGCAAGATTTCAGGCTTCATTATTTATGATGTCGGATTGTCTGACTTGGATTGAATCGCGCGTTCGAGAGGTGTTCACGAGGGCAGATGTCGACGCGATCTTAGCTACCACTATTACCCTATTTTCTGAAGAGGTTATTATTTGGGGCTATCATGATTCTGGTGTGTAGTTGGTTCAGTCCAGGTATTGGTGGCTACAACGTCAGCAACACTCACCGGGTAGCACATCTCCAGTTTGGAAGGTCATTACTAAATTATTGGTTATTCCAAAAATATGTATATTTATGTGGAGCTTGACACATGATGGGTTGCCTGTTGGTAAACGTCTTTGGGAAGCAGGTTTAGGATCTAGACTATGTCCTATGTGCCAAGCTGATGAGGAAACAACTGCTCATGCTTTGCATGGTTGTCGGTATGCCCAGGCACCCATGCAGTAGGCTTGTTTTTTGGGGTACCTCGTTTCGTACCCGGAGAATCTAGTTTAAGTTGGGTAGAAGTGTTATCGCAGTTGTTCGGAGTTGAACGTTTCGATGACTTTGCTGTTCTACTTTGGAATATGTCGAATGGAAGGAATACACTAGTCCATGAGGAGAAACTTCAACCTTCGTCGCTTATAGCTTTAAATGCGCAGGTGCTCCAGAATGCGTTTAAATCGGCTAGGAATTCCACTGTTGGCAGAGCAGCACGCACAACTGCCGATGTTCCACCGTGACAAGCGCTGACCAATGTTGCCCAACAGAAGTGGCGTCCACCTGTCCTTAGAGTTGTTAAAGTTAATGTTGACGGGGCTTTCGATTCGCAACGACGAATGGAGACAGTGAGTATAATAGCTCGTGATACTGCTGGGTTACCCTGGGGGTATGGCAGTCTCAGCGCCATCTTGTAGGGAAGCTGGGATTGCTGAAGTACATGCAATTATGGTTGGTTTGTGTTTTGTTGTCGAGAACTGTTGATAAATCGGGCAAAGTAAACGAAAGAACACAAGAATTTTAACGAGGTTCGGCAATGTGCTTACGTCCTCGGTGCCTAGACGGCGCTAGAAAATTTTATTCAATTCTCATAGGTTTAGGTTACATCTCTATTTATAATAGAAAACCCTGGTACAAAATTACAAAATTAACCCTGTACCGTTTCGCTCACTCCGCTCCATCCCCTGTCCTCTTTACCAGTATATTTATGAGCCATACCTTACAAATCTCCACCTTGGCGAATATCCTGCCCCTTAGGAAACATTCAATGTGGGTTGGGTTACCTTAGTTCTTTAACAACTTGAAACATTCAACAAGTCCAAGCAATGCTTGAACTTGTCTGTCGTAACTGGTTTGGTGAACATATCAGCGGCATTCTCATCAATGTGTACCTTCTGAAACAAAATCTCTTCAGGTGCAACCAACTCTCTAATCTTGTGAAAACGTACATCAATGTGCTTAGTTCTAGCACGATATACCTGATTCTTAGCTAAGTGAATAGCACTTTGATTGTCGCAAAGCAGCTGAACTCCACCTTGCTGAACACCCAACTCCTTCACTAAACCAGTGAGCCATAAAGCTTCTTTTGCAGCTTCAGCCGCTGCCATGTACTCAGCTTCAGTTGTAGATAGTGCCACTACAGATTGAACAGTAGACTTCCAACAAATAGGTCCTCCACCAAGAGTAAAAACATACCCTGTCGTAGATCTTCTATTATCTAAGTCACCTGCATAGTCTGAATCCATATATCCTACAACCAAAGGATTATCTCGTTGACTACTAAAAACAATTCCATGTCCCACATTACCCTTTAAGTATCGAAAGATCCACTTGACTGCTTCCCAATATTGCTTACCAGGTTTAGACATGTACTTACAAACTTGACTAACAACATGAGCTAAATCAGGACGAGTACATACCATTGCATACATCAAGCAGCCAACAACACTAGAATACGGAACCTTTGCCATATCTTCAGGTTCCTTATCTGTCTTAGGGCACTGTTCTGATGAGAGCTTAAAGTGGTTCGCCAATGGAGTGCTAACTGGTTTTGCGCTTCTCATCGCAAACCTTTCTAGCATTTTTTTAACATAACCCCATTGAGATAGCCACAGTCTCCTTGAGTCTCTGTCCCTACAAATTTCCATTCCAAGAGTTTTCTTTGCAGCACCTAAATCTTTCATATCAAATTCCTGACTCAATAAAGTTTTCAAACCGATAACATCATCCATGTTCTTCGCAGCAATCAACATATCATCAACATACAGTAATAGAAAAATAAAAGAACCATAATCAAGGCTCTTAACATAGACACAACAATCATACTCACATCGGTTGTAGCCAATCTTGATCATATAGGAGTCAAACCGTTTATACCACTGTCTCGGAGACTGTTTCAACCCGTACAAAGATTTCTTCAATCTGCAAAACTAAATGCTCGTTTCCAGTTGAGTGAAACCTTCAGGTTGCCGCATGTATATCTGCTCCTCTAAATCACCATACAAAAAAGCAGTTTTAACATCCATCTGCTCTAAATGTAAATCCCAACTGGCCACAATTGCAAGTACTGCTCGGATTGAAGTGTGCCTGACCACAGGAGAAAAAATTTCATCATAATCAACTCATTTCTGCTGTGAAAAACCCTTTGCTACCAAACGAGCCTTGAACTTGAACTTCTCCCCCTCTTTTTCTGTTACTGTTGGTTTCTTCTTATACACCCATTTGCAACCAATCGACTTTTTACCCTCAGGAAGGCGAACCAACTCCCATGTACGATTATGATTCAAAGACTCCATCTCCTCAACCATGGCTGCCATCCACTTGTCGTTTTCCTGACTAGTAACAGCATCATGAAAATTAACTGGATCATCACTGCTAACAATAAGTGCAAAAGAGATCAAGTCTTCAAAACCCAATCTACTCGAAGGCTTTATATTCGTCCGTCTCACCCTATCTCTGGCGAGACTATAATCCTGCAAATCATCCGTAGTGGAACCACCAGAAGTCGGTTGAGAAGTTTCTGGTTTCTCAACTGGAAACTGCTCAAAATCCACCACTGTCGTGTCTTTCTTCTGTTGCAACATGGATTGTTCATCAAAAACAACATCTCTACTGATCACAATTTTCTTCGCAACTGGATCCCAGAACTTGAATCCTTTGACACCTTTCTTGTAACCCAGAAAAATGCACTCCTTCGATTTTGCATCAAGTTTGGATCTCTCATCAGTAGGTACATGCACATAAGCAGGACAACCAAAAATTCGTAAGTTATCAAAACTAACATCATGACCAGTCCATACCTCTTCTGCAACTTTCCCAGCCAATGATGCCCTTGGCGATCTGTTGATAAGATAACACGCCATGTTAACAGCCTCGACCCAGAAGTGTTTGGGAAGCCCCGTATTCAACCGCAAACATCTGGCTCTTTTATTCAACGACCTGTTCATCCGTTCCGCAACACCATTATGTTGTGTTGTCTTGCGCACTGTAAAATGTCTCTTAATCCCGTGCTCCTTACAGAAGTGTAAGAACTGTGAATCTGTGTACTTCGTACCATTGTCAGACCGCAAACACTTGATTTTTCG